AAGATTCAGGCAATTGGCTGTAAAATGTGTCCATCTACATAGGGTACCCTAGTCGCTTATTTTACCAACTGGGAAACGCCTTCTCAGAAAATGGATCGGAATGTTCGGTTTTCTAGTATGAGAACAGCACATCTTGGTGACAGGCGTTAAAGTACCCCTGGAAGACCAACTGCACAGTAGGGTACTGATTTAGGCCCACATCAACAGTCTCACTTGAATGTTCAAGTAACTGAGATGCCTTTTTAACAACGCTGTGCGATCTATAGACACAGACATAGAGAATTTTATAACTACACGTGTCCACCATCATCCATATAGTAGAGAAAGTGAAGCTTTCAACAGACCGAGTTCGGCTTATCCTGCGCTCTGACGGCTGCGGAAAACCGCATAACTATAAGAAGGCGTATCTGGCGATTGTTTGAATCCAATCTGGTTCTGCCTCTCTCTGAAACCTCTCAGTACCTTACTGGTGGACTGCGGGAGGAGAGCTTCGGAAAGGAGGTACAAAAGTGATCCACCTTTTTTATATGAATGATCTCAAATTGAAATCTCATGATGTGGAATTGCTAAACATCACTTATAACTTTAGCAATATGGTAATTTACACCATGTAAGAAAAAGTCAAAAAATATATATTTGATAGATTTTTTTTAAGTAAACGAGAAATATTGGTTTCTATTTGCATTATAAAGAACGTTGGCCAAATTTCTATAAGAGATGGACTTGACTTTTTTTATGACAGGTGCAGTGCGGGTCTTTTGCTTATTAAAGTATTCATTTATTAGCAAGTATAAATCCCAAACATCATTAAAATATAATGTCTAGAGATATTTAACCATTCATGATATTATTAAAGATCAGAAGGAGATTGTCAATTAAAAGAGGGTGCCAGAGCATTAAATTCAACTTTACTCGGCGTTTATTTATAAATTGCACATATAACATATAACAGAAAATCAAGCACACAGTAAACTAGAATATTAATATGAATGGTTAGAATGATTTTATCGATTTAAAATCAATATATTGAATGTTGTTATTTTTTAAAGTTCAACAAATCGGATAATAAAAATGTTTCAAGAGATTAAAGTAGCACATCAGGTTTAAAGCGGAAAAGGGCGAGCTCTTTATATACGCCAGTAGAAGTGGAACTCAAGAATATTCGGCGAAATTCTATTGAAACACGATGCCCAATATTGCCATTCCCACATTCTGTTCAAAGGTATTTAACCGACACATTTCTTTTCTTTAGTTTTGAGAGTATTTTTAAGTTTAGTTTTTCAATAGAATATTGTTGTTTCAGTAAACAACAACTATTCAATCAGTCTCCAGTACTTTGCACATCTTCTAGTGGTGTAGTTAAAACTTGGTCTGTCGAAAATGTGTCAGAATTACATTCAACTTCTAAGGCCATTGTAATCGATATGGTTGCCCAAGCAGACTTTGATGACAAGACTTCATTAACTGAAATAAATTATTCAAACTCGTGTAATGAACCTTCGACCTTACGTAATGAACCTTCGACTTCGTGTAATGAACCTTCGAACTCATATAATGAAACTTCGACCTCATATAATGAACCTTCCACCTCATATAATGAACTTTCGACGTCATATATTGAACCTTCGACCCAGTGGCGAAGCTAGAGCTCCAAGCTAGGGCAAGCCCAAGATATAAATTGATAAAAATATAGATTGTTGTTTTTAGCAGTTTTATAAAAATACACCAATCTTGATCTGTCTCCACGCTTCAGTTTTATATTCAGTGCTGTCAAGGACGTGTTTAACAAAGCACACAGAAGGCATACCACTGCTAGATAGATTGTATTACATATCAGCAATTGCATAACTTCGGTGGCTTTGAAGAATGCCGTTTGGGTTTGTTTAAGCAAAATTACGTCCACGTAAAATGTTGGTGAACGTTTTAATTGTACCAATAACTGTTTTTAATTGCGATAATTGATAAGTCTGAAATACACTCTTAACCTTATGTATGATCTCAACAAATTTTAAAGATTTCCTCTCCGATTATCACTTTAACACACTTCAATTCATCACAAGGATTACTATTATCCTCCATTTTCATTAAAAATCTTTAAAAAAGCATAAATTTTGAACTCGTAATATTAAATCGCTTCAAGATTCATAATAAAAGTAGTAAATAATTTAAGATAAATTTATTTAAAGTAAATTTTCGAAATGGCGGCCATTAACTTCGATACACAGTCTACATCGTCTTAAAAAATTTGCTTTTAGTCTTCGAAAAGCATTCGTATTTTCTTTAATTTTTTCTGCGCACTGTCTCAATTTTTCCCCTTAATTCATTTTCCGAATTAATTTTTCTAGCATACACCATCTCTTTGTAGAATCCCCAAATAAAAAAATCTATAGTGTTTAAATCTGGTGAGCGTGCAGGCCATTCGATTGGCCCTGCACGCCCAATCCACCATCCTGGGAAAGTTCTGTTGAGGTGCTCCCTCACTTGTCTTTCAAAATGGCAAGGAGCACCGTCATTTTGAAATATCATATCCCTCCTCGTTTGTAAATTAACTTCAAACAATAAACCATTTAAATTATTTTGTAGAAAATTCAGGTACTGGGACCCGTTCAACCTAGACGACAATTCAAAGGGCCCAACCATTTCTCCATTTATGACTCCTGACCACATGTTGATACTAAATCTATTCTGAAAATTTGGCTGCCTTGCTTTTTTTGGGTTTTCAATGGCCCAGCTATGATGATGGTGAATGTTAAAGACGCCAGTCCTTTCAAACCGGGATTCATCCGTCCAGAGTATCTTGTTAAAAAAATCCGGGTCTTCCGCAGATCTTTCCAGCATTATTTGGCAGAAAGCAACACGCCTTGGATAGTCTGCGTCGTTAAGTTGTTGAACACGCTGAATATGAAACGCGTGATATCCCTCTGGAAAAAAAGATTAGTATTTTTATTGTAGGTTGTCATTGTACACAATACTAGAGGTACGTACCAATAGAGCACGTGAACGTGAAACTAAAAGTTGGGAGTCGCTAGAGTGGCGTCCTAGCGCCTATTTTTGAATTACGAGCGCTTGTTTAAGGGTCTCTACATCTCTCTCTTTTACACGCACACACAATACATTAGACATCGACAATTCACAGTAAATTAAATGAGTGTGATTTGAAATGGCAGTGCAGCAATGTGTTGGGATTTTGAATAAAGAGGTCTACAAAATAATAAAATGCACTCACCTGATTTCAGTATTCTTAAAACTGAAGTCCTTGGGATTCCAGTCCTTCTCGTAATCGCTCGTGAACTAGTAGAAGGGTCTGTTTCTACTTCTTCAATGATTACATCTCTTCTATCTGGATCCACTCTGGGTAGTCCCTCGCGACGTTGATTACGCCCAGGAACGCGTCCAGCCATCAGGGTTTCGTGGGTCTTATTAAAAACCCTGTAGCCCGGGAAATGCTCTAACACTTCTCCTCGCCGCTCTAGTTGCTCTCGATAAAGCCGTGCCGCTAATGCGCCGTTTCCTTGGGCAACGCCGTAGAAATAGTGCATCTCTGCGTATTGACTGAGAGAATAACTCATTGCTAAAAGTAATCCAAATCACTAAGCAACTCAAGGTCCATAAAACAAGCACAGGTCAATCGTAAGGCAAATCAAGAATCCGGGAAACAAAGCGAAGGTAGTCAAATAAGAGATCCAAATAAACGTAAACGTGAGTAGTGGTTGCACGCGGGAAAGCAGTGAACGACTGGCGGGACCGAGCGAGGTGAAAAAGGGACGCGGTCGGTGTGGCGCGGGGCGCGGGGTGCGGCCTGGTAACAAAATAGAGCGCAAAGCAGGAATGTTTACCTGAGCCTTTGTTTAAAATTCCTTTGTGTGTTTGTGACTGAATGTGCTATCATTTAGTTTCAGTGAAATAAAAAAAAAACATGTAGTTTGTAGTAAAATGATACCTTAATAAATGTCACGTTTTAACAATAAGTAGTTTTCTTTGCTAACCTGAAGCATTTACTATCTTAGTTTAGCCCTAGAAATGATAAAAAGATTTTTTAAATCAAATTAACTATTTAGGTAGTTTCCTTCCTGAGTAACTTCAGAAGTCTGTAACAGAAAAACTGGCCTATTAAGTGTCATTTTTTTAATGTTATTATGAAAGATTAAGGTACTGCAAAGTTTTTAAAATTAATTAGAAAGTATGAAATCATTTATTACTATTTTTCATTTAATGTTGAAAATTCAAGCCCCACTCTCCTGACAGAAAATTTTTAAGTTTCGTTTAAAATTATTGTATCTTCGGTGAATGTTAGGAAGCTAATTATTTTATGCAACTCATAAGGATCGTGCTACAAACGAAAAAACTTGGAAAAAATTTCACAATTACATTTTTTTTAATGTTAAGCTGTTTAGGGAGAATATTTTCAAAAAAAGGGTAAAAAAAATCATAACTCGAAAACTACAAAAAATCGCGTAACATACATAGGGTATTTTCGGATACCCCTAGGTGTGAGGAATCAAAAAAAAAATTTATAACCTCACTGTTTGGACCACCCTGTATATACAATAGTAGTTATATTTCATTATAGAATATTTTGCCATAGGTTAGAAAGAGAGCGATCGTCTTCTCGAAAGCCCCGTAAAAAGCCCACGCGAGCGAGGGAGACAACTATTAGCTCTATTAAAACTCATTTTTTATAACAGCAGCAGTATCGCTAAGGCAATACGAGGTCATCGGTCGACATGTGTCGAACAGTGGAGTGCGCAGGAAATTTGAAATAGCTTGAAACATTTTACGAGTTATTTTATTAATTGATATTATTTATTGATATTATTGATTGATTCAGGTTTAATAAGGCAAACCCGGCTTTTTGGCTTTAATGAAAGCTTCGCCACTGCTTCGACCTCATATAATGAACTTTCCACCTCATGTAATGAACCTTCCACCGCATATAATGAACCCACGACATCGTTCAAAAATATTGAGATTTCATTGCCTATCGGAGAAAGCAATAAACGATGTGTAAGAACAAGAGGTGGACATGTTGTAAAAAGTTCCAGGACCGGAAAATATTGAAACAAAACTCAGAAACAGAAACAGATGTAGCTGGCCAAGGGAAAAGACGAAGAGTTAGAACGAGAGGAGGTTCTGCATCTTCTATCAATCACCAGTTAAGAACTGGTCGTGACTTGTGCCAAATACATAGTGTACAAGTGCCTATTGAGGAGGAGCTTTTGGCAATATTAAATGATAATGATGAGCGAGAAAATTGCGCAAGGGCCCACTTTCAGGCGCAAGAACTTTCAGATAAACAACGTCTGGACATACTTGAAGCTTCTGATGACAATTTCGATGATGACGTTTTTGATGAAAATTTTCTTAACAATTTTGATGATTCTGATTCAGATGATGATAATATGATATCAACTGAAACCTTCGCACCTTTAACTAGTGATGGTGAGTGTTTAAATTAGTCGGACCAAACATCCCACATAAAAGATATTACTTTTATAGTAAACCCAATGGGGTTAAATATACAACTAGAAGCAATTGAACCTATCAACTTTTTTAATTTAATTATGACAGATTACCTAATTCAGGACATCGGACATTGATAAAACCAATCGTAATGCAAGCAATATCCTTGTAAAAAGTTTACCCGGAAGCCGAATACACTTTTGGAAAAATGTAACAGTTTCAGAAGTCAAAATATTTTTGGGGCTACTTTTCCATATGGGTACAATAAAATTAAATAGAATACAAGATTACTGGAAGAATCACAGACTATTTAACCTGACCTGTTTTCGTGCGCGCGTGAGTCGAAATCGTTTTTTACTAATTCTAAGAGCAATGCACTTTGAAAATTTAGAATCAGACGATAACAGATTAACGAAAATTTCACCTTTGGTTATGTTTTTCAATAATAGGATGACAGAAATATACAACCCTGTACAGAATTTATGTATTGATGAATCCTTTGTATTATGGCGCTGTCGACTAATATTCGGACAATACATAAAGAATAAAAGCCATAAATATGGTATAAAATTATATATTTTGACTGATGCAAACGGAATAATACTAAAACACATACACATACTACAACATAGTGTACGCCGGCGCAGGAGACCCAATTGTAGGTGGCGTGAATCATTCCTCAAAAGTAGTTTTACAGCTATTACATGAACTTTTGAATAAAGGCTACTCTGTTTTTATGGACAACTTTTATAATTCTGTTGATCTGACAGAAAATATATTATCTGAAAATACTTACCGCACGGGAACATTACGATTAAATCGAAAAAATAACCCAAAAGACATTACTACTAAAAAGTTAAAGAAAGGCGAATGTGTCTCGCAGTACAACCAAAATGGTGTTTGTGTCATGAAATGGCGGGATAACAGAGACGTCACTATGATATCATCACAATTTAATTCGCAAATGATTACTACCACTACAAGAAGAAATACAGAGGTCTCAAAGCCTAATATATCGTCGGCTCGTCGGCGTCGGCCGCGCGCCTCCCCTCTCGACTAACTTCATACCTAACGTGACCATACGTCCCACTTTAGGCGGGACGTTCCCGATTTAAATGTTTGTGTCGCGCTATCCCCAAAATACGTAAAAATGTCCCGCTTTGACAAACAAAAGCGTGACAATCACGCAAACTCTGTCACCCGTGCCATCATTATGACACCGCGCGTACCAGGTTTGCATAGCTTGTCTAGTTACTTGATTATTCTGAAAAGCTACACTTTTGAATTTAAAGTTACAAAGTGACAATTTTTAATGAATCTACAATAAATTATCAAATAACATAAGATATTTCCAATTAGTATTTATTTGATGTTTAGAATTCACTTTTGATCATTAAAAGACTCAAACAACTGTGTTTTATTTATAAAACTATATTAAAGGGTTCTAGATAGATTTTTAATAATGGCGTAAGTATAATACTAACATATACAATAAGTCTAATACTACTGCTACTGAGAATTTTGTGACGGAAAAACCCAATAAATGAATCTTGACCCGACTCGGGTTTCGAACTTGGGACCCCATGATCAGCAATTGCGTTAACTGCCATTAGACCAAGAAGGCAGTCAAAAGTGTTAGAACTATAATAATTTTAAAGGCGTCCTGCTCTGAGGAAAAAATTAATGGTCACTAAAAAGCCGGGCTTTTTAGCTCCATACTAATTGCTATTTATACAATCGTAGTTATATTTCATTATAGAACATTTTGCCACAGGTTAGAAAGGGAGCGATCGCCTTTTCGAAAGCCCGGTAAAAAGCCCACGCGTGCGAGGGAGAAAACCAATCGCTCAATTCAACTCTCCTTATATGTATGACAGCAGTATTCGTAAGGCTACGAAGTCGCACAGAGTGCGCGGGAAATTTGAAATAGTTTGAAACAGTTTACGAGTTATTTTATTACTTAATATAACTGATTGATTCATCTTAATGAGGCAAGCCGGGCTTTTGGGCTTGTATAGAAGCTTCGCCATTACACTACAAGAAGAAATACAGAGGTCTCAAAGCCTAAAATGGTTGTAGAATATAATCGTAACATGGGTGGTATTGATCACCAAGATCAACACCTCCACCACCACACACACACCCACACCCACACCCACACCCACACACACACACACACACACACCCACCCACACACACACCCACCCACCCACACACACACCCACCCCCCCACACCCCCACCCACCCACCCACCCCCTCACACACACACACACACACACACACACACACACACACACACACACACACACACACACACACACACACACACACACACACACACACACACACACACACACACACACACACACACACGCGCGCGCGCGCGCGCTCGTTTGTTTATCAACAATATTTATTTAAAAAAATCTAAATACATCATTAGTAATCCATTTCTTACCATAAAACATAATAAAAACTGGTGGCACTGACCAGGTGCCACCAGTTTTTATTATGTTTTACAACTTTTAAAAAGAGGTGGCATCGAATGGGTTAATAGTCCAAGATCCCAGGGCCTCCAGACGTCACGTATTTTCTGACGGATGAAATGTGGACGACTGAGTAGTGTCACACCGGTGGAATATTATAGACTTGTACCAAAGAAAATACATACTAGGTATATGCTATATATTATGTAAACTTATGTATTTGGGTAGTGAAAGATACGTTCAAAAGTATATACAGGAAGAGAGCCCTCTGACATTTTATTGCAGACAAAATTGAACTACTAGCGCCTCCTACAAATTGAATCCGAACTAATTCGCTATATATAGCTCTACATATACCTCTTCTATAGTAGTAAAATGTATAATATTGTTCTTTAACTCGTATACATACTGAAACAGTTTTACTACCCTACTTTTTGTAATACTGCTTTTGATATTATTAAAAGTAGGTAAAACAGTTTCAGTAAGTACACTGGTATTTATGGGGTATTTGCAATGAAACAAGAAAGATAATTATTTCATCTTTTATTTTTATAATGCTTATGTTTATTATAATACGTTTGCGCTGCAATTTTTACATCGTCTTCACCATCAACATACGTCAATTTGCCGGATAAAATACGGTTAATGGATCTACACCAACTACGCAATATAATATTAATTGACAAATCTGTGAAATATCCTATTAATGTAACTGTAAATTAATGTCTTTATGTCGACAGCAATCAAAAGGATATTCCACGAGTACATCTGCAATTGATTTAATCTGTTTTTTATGTTAATTTCGGAACGTCTTTTTTTAGAAATGACTGTAATATTTTGTAGGTCATGGAAACAATTTTGCAATGCTTCATTGGGATAACATAGCCATTTTTTTTTGTTATATTCTTTAACTTTTATAAAACTATTACTGGCATTTTGGTTGTTTGAATCTGTTAGGTTTTGTCTACAATATTTACACGACTTTACAACTTTTTTTAAACATTTAGTCAAGACCCAACCACATACATAGTTTCGTTGCCCAGCATCTGCTTGTAATGAATAATTTTGTAACAAATTATCATTTAAATTAATTTTGTCTTCAGAGGGAACATCAGAATCGACAGTATTATTTTGTTTTTCATTAAGAAAAAAATGAAGGCCTTGAAGGCACTCATTTATATCTTCTTCACAGTTAAATTTTTTGGATTGTGGTAGATAATTGTTTAATAATAATGCTTTAAATGCCCCTTCAAATGAAATAGTGTTAGGGGCAATATTTCTGGCTCCATAGCTTCTGATGTTCCCAAAAAAGTTTTCTACAGGGTCCTGATTAAAATTACGTGTTAATACTGTATCATAACCGTATTTACCAAACAAAACTTTGCAAATTGCTTCCATGCCGTTGATAGTCTTAATAAAATTTGTCAAGTAACCTTTTTTTGAATGAATCTTACAGTTTTTAAAATTTCTTGAGCTTTTAGCCACAGTTGGTGATGAGGTGAGTGCCTTTTAATTGGTCCTTTATAAGTTTTACCATTGGGTATGCTAAATGTACTACCATTGAGGCTGTCAAACAAATTATCAAGTAGCAAAGTTATTTCAATTAATTGCTTACATTCTACTGGCAAATCACCTCTTGCTATCAAATGGTCAGTAACCACAGCCACACTGTGGCTGAAAACCTGTGTTGCAGATTTGACCCTCATTTTATTTATTTTCTCAGGGACAATATGTTCTTCTGTTATTTTATTTAATAATCGAAGCTCCCCATGTGATTTATCAGCTGTATATACCTGCTGATAATATTGCCATTTAACTATTTTACTTTCATTGTTTGATTTATACATCATGTCTTTACTTAATAAATTATTTCTAATTCCTTTCAATAAATGAGGAACATCATACAATGGAATAATATCGTGACCATTAATACTAAATAAATCATGGCGCCACTCTTTATCAAGTCTCAAAAACCTCGCTCTTGTGTCATTAATTAAATCTGTTATAGCACCAACATTTACAGAGCTTTGGTCACATACAGTATTAATTACTATTAGGCCAGATTTTTGGACTTCAGTCATAACACATTTAATCAAAGTTTTAAGCTCATTTTTTTGCAAGCTATTGGTAAAATAATAGGCAACCGGCTGTTTAAAATTTTGTTTTAAGCCTTTTACCATAAAAACAAGAGCATGGTCGGCAAATTTTGTACCTTGAGACGTGGCAAACCCTTACAACGCATCTTATTGATTATTATAAAATATTTGTGGAGTCAAAGACATCTCATCAAATATAAGACTGCAAAGTCGATCAGGAGTATCCTTTTCGAGTACAGTCTTTTTAATTTTTTCAAATAAAATGGGATTAATACCAGGGCACAATTTAATTTGACTGAGCAACCGTTTAATTTTTTTTTTTTTTATAGAAGAAGGGGCAAACGAGCATGCGGCTCACCTGATGTTAAGTGACTACCGCCGCCCATGATCAACCGCAACACCAGGAGAATTGCGGGTGCGTTGCCGGCCCTTTAGAAAGGAGTAAGCTCTTTTCTTGAAGGTCCCCAGGTCGTATCTGTCCGGAAAAATCGCCGGTGGTAAACTATTCCACAGAGAGGTTGTATGTGGAAGAAAACTCCTTGTGAAACGTACAGTGGTGGACCGCCAAGCATCCAGATGGTGTGGATGGTATCGGGACGTTTGACGTGTAGTGCGTTCACGAAATTTGGCGGCTGGGATTAATCCGAACAATTCCTCAGAGCACTTCCCATGATAGATGCGATAAAATACGCAAAGAGATGCAACATCTCTTCGCAGCGCCAGTGAATCGAGCCGATCGGAAAGCACTCGGTCGTCGACGATTCGAGCCGCCTGCGCTGGATGCGGTCAAGTGGAAGAAGATGGTACTGGGGAGCCCCAGCCCGGAGAACTATATTCTATGTGCGGGGGGAACAGTATTCTATGTGCGGCCGAACCTGCGCCTTGTAAGGTTGCAGGCGGTGTGCCGGCATGAAATACTGTCCCGCAGCTTTTTAGAGGCCAATTTGGCCTTCCCTTCCAAGTGACCACGAAACTGCACGTCACTCGATATGTCGACGCCGAGGATTCCGATACTGGTTGAGGCAACAAGGGGAGTGCCTTGAAACTGGGGGGATACGACAAAGGAGTTCATTTTAGCGGTTAACGCGCAAACTTGTGTCTTCTGGGGGTTAAACTGGACTAGATTTAGTCGCCCCCAATCCGAGACTCCGTCCAGCAGAGACTCGACTTCAGACACAAGTTTGTCCCGGCACTCGGAGACGTTTTCCCGAGAAATATTGGCTCGGCCGGTGTAAAGAGCATCACCAGTGCTGTCATCTGCATAGCAATGAATGTTACGGGTATGCAACATGTCATTGATATGCAGAAGAAACAGCGTTGGCGATAGCACGCAGCCTTGTGGAACACCAGCATTAATAGGCTTGCAATCGGAGCTTGCACCGTCTACAACGACCTTGATGCTCCGATCTGCAAGAAAGCTGGTGATCCAATCGCACAATTTCTCGGGAAGCCCATAGGAAGGGAGCTTCGAAAGAAGCGCTTTGTGCCAAACCCGATCGAAGGCCTTCGCAATGTCCAAACTAACGGCCAATGCCTCCCCCTTGAACTCTACTGCCGCCGCCCATCTGTGAGTTAGGTAGACCAGAAGATCACCAGCTGACCGACCACGGCGAAAACCGTATTGGCGGTCACTAATCAGCTGGTGATCTTCAAGGTACCTCATGAGCTGGCAGTTTACAATGGACTCCATTGTTTTGGATAACAAGGAGGTGACGGCGATTGGCCGGTAGATAGACGGGTCAGAGCGGTCGCCTTTTTTTAGGGATCAGGTGGACGTAAGCCGTCTTTCATGATTTTGGGACTACGCCTAGGGAGTAGGAGTACCGGAAAAGACGCGTTAAAACCGGTGCCAACTCTGGAGCACACGTCCTCAGCACAATTGGGGGGATTCCGTCAGGCCCACTCGACTTGTGGATGTCCAGGGAGAGGAGTGCTTTGCGAACCGAGCGCTGTGTGAAGTGCACTTCCGGCATGGAGCACTCACACCGCGGGATGGTCGGCGGAGTACTCCCCCCGTCATCGAGAGTCCAGTTAGACGCAAAGAAAGAGCCTAGAAGATCGGCTTTCTCCTTTGCGGTATGGGCCAGTGAGTCGTCCTCCCTGTGCAGAGATGGAAGACTTGGCTGACAGAAATTCCCCTGGACAGCCTTGGCGAGAGACCAGAATGCACGGGGTTCCAGAAGGAAGGCGAACTAGTTTCTCGCCAATTCTGCCTATGTGCTCTGACTTTGCCTTGGCAATGACTCTTGAAGGACCTAGAGGCGGAATTATACTTCCTTTTTAGAGCGCTGGTGTTTACATCCCGGGAAGCTGATGCATCAGCCCAGGCTTGGTAGCACTCCTGCTTATAGCATGATGCTTTTTTACAGGAGCGACCAAACCATGGCTGAGATTTGCCTCCAATGGGCACCACAGAGGAAGGAATAAAAAGTTCCATACCCTGAAGTACCAAATCAGCAACAGAATCCGCAACAACGTTGGGACCATCCGGCGAGAAGCAAACCCGTCCCCAAGGGTAGGATGCAAAGAAAGACCGCATCCCATCCCAATCGGCTGACTTATAGTGCCAAACACGGCGGCAGCCTGCAGAATGCAACCGCGATTTCAGCGTGAGTGGCACCACACTCCGGACCAGACAATGGTCCGAGGAGCCTAAAGGGGCGTCGACGGAAATCTGATATCCGTCCGGGTGAGAGGTCAGCAGAAGGTCCAACAGGGAAGGTGCACGATCCTCCACATCTGGAATCCGCGTAGGCGAAGTAACCAGTTGTGTCAGACCATATGCCAAGGCAAAATCATGAACAGATCTCCCCGCATGATCGGTTAAACGTGAACCAAGCCATTCGGCGTGATGGGCGTTAATGTCGCCGAGGATCACGATCTCTGCGGAGGGGATCTGCTGTAGCAACGAATCTGCATTCATTTCATACATTCTGCATTCAGTCATTTGGACGTGGTTGAAGAGTCGGTCTGTTTCGGCATTACCGCTATGGGACCTATAGAGGCACCCGTAGACGCGCGGATGGTCGTCGCTGTCTACGCGTAGCCAAAGGATGGACAGGTCCGAACCTTCAAGTCTGCCGAGGCGTCGAGAGCAGATGTCCTCTCTGACGTAAACGCAAACTCTAGCCCGAGGCACAAAGGAGTGTTCCACTTTGTACCCCGGGCAGGAGAGATACGAGACATCAGCCGGAGAGGACACCTGCGTCTCGGTCAGAAAGAGCAGAGCCGGCCTCGCCGTCTCGAGATGGTAGTGGACGGCGTTTAGGTTAGAGTGAAGTCCCCTGATATTGCAGAAATTCACGGACAGCGTGGCAGGGGTCACCTTGGTCTTGTTGCTCCGTTTGCCCCGAGCAGTTGTAGTCTTGAGCGGAATTTTGCCCCCCCCCCCCAGAATCCGCGGGGCAGCCTGAGCACCCACGCTCAGAAGTGGAGAAACATGGTCGTGGATGCTCAGCGAGGGATTCTCCAGGGGTGCTGGTACCCTCCTGGGGTAGTCGATCATTATTTAATTCCGCTACCATGTTGATGGGGGGGGGGGATTTGGGCCTCCGGCCACCTGCACTCACCAGACGAAACGCGGAAGCAAAGCTTCCACTTCACGCCGGTATTCTGTGAGGTCGTGGTACCACCCCGGTTTGAGCCGGCCCATACGTGCAACAGCAAAGCTGCCGCGTGGCTCTACCACTGTTAAATTACATTACAATTATTCATTGCTTTTGATGAGGGCAATGTACAATATTTATATAATAATGAATAGGCTTTTGGACTTTTTTTATACATTGATAATGCAAGGATTTTTTCATCCATTGTAAATTGTCTACCTTTGGATTTCTTTAAACATTGCATCTGCATATGGACAAACAACTGGGCAGGTTTCCTCATATTTTTGACAACTTGCTGGAATGCTGTTTCCTTAGCTAATTTCGCAGCATTTGCTAGCCTCGCCTTGAAGGATTGCCCTCTCTTCTTTAAACGGCTTATATCCGACTGCAAGTATCTGATTTTCGTCGCTAAAGGTTTAATTTGGACATAATTGTATGTCAATGTCCTCACAGAACCTGAAAGTTTAAAATTTTTATTAGTTTTTTTTAAGCATTAAGTTCCACTACATGGCAGCTTCATTTTAAAATTTCATTAATCATAATCGATATTAACTGGTAATAAGGAATCAAAACAATTAAGATGATTTTATTACACTATTATTATTTTGTAACTTAAAAAATATATAAAATGTAAATTATATTTTTTGATTAAGTATCACCCACATTTTCAAACTTTTATGTTTTAGTGACTAAGTAATAGTAATACTGTGTACCTTTTGCAAATGTATTTCTTGTAGAACTGCTAGCTGCGCTATAATTATGCTCCATTATTACAGCAGGTGCAATACCACGAACTGTGCCTGAAACAAATTCATGCGGAATCGGTATTACTAAAAAATAATAGAACATCCCTGGGAACTTTCAATAAATGAACTACACACAACAGCAAATGTAGATGACTTTTTTCTAATACTTAGAATTTTATTTTCAATGCATGTAACAATAATGTTACGAGCTTAGGGTTCGTGACAATAAAAATTGCCGATAAAATTACCTAAATTAACACTTTAATTTACTTTACACAAACTAAAGTTAAAAACACTAATAATTAAACACACTAATTCACTTAATTCCGCTCCGAAGCTTCGCTTGTTTCGCCAAATCAACACTGCCCCGATCGCATCTTGCAGCGCCTATATATTTAAATTAGCAAAGAAATATCCAGAATGTTCAAGTAAACACGCGCAAGGTACCGAGCGTTCGAGTTTCGACTAGGCGCTGTCGGTTGAGTGATTTGTGATGTCATTTTCTCAATGATCCCCTCGCTCTCGTTCCTGACACTAGATGGCGCTAGTGTATCGTCGACTTGAGCGCGTAACACTGCCCCCTCCTAAGACATGCTCGTCCCGAGCATTATCGGCCCCATAATAACGCGCCAAGCGATTCACATGGACGATCTTAGGAGTCCCTCTTGCGCCTTTCTGTAACGACTCCGCAATGTCAAGGGCTGTTCTATCCCGTGGTGCACCAACATTGTACAATTTCGGTGCTCCTCTACTACGTGTCTGAGGTACCCCGCACGGCCGCACAACTTGTACATGTATGACACCAATCCTCGACATCGTCACGATAATGGACCCAGTAAAACTGTTCTCGGACCTTCAGTAGAGTTCGTTTAACTCCCAGATGGACTCTTGAACGACCATTATGGCACAGCTGTAGAACATTCGGCACTTTAGCTTTAGGGACAACCATTTGCAAACGACAGCTGTCCCTTCGACCATTGTCCCATTTACGGCACAGGACTCCATCCTGAATCAGCAAGCTGTCCCATTGGGCCCAATAGCTTTTCGTGGTTGAACTCATCGCTGAGACGTCCCTCCACTTAGGCTTGGTAGCACGGGCCTTCATCCATCCCAGAATCGGCTTGATGTCCGGATCTTCCTGCTGTGCATGTCGTAGGCTGTCCTTCCACCCGTTGCTGAGGTGGTCTGTCCTGAGCATCCTCACGGATACCACTTCCTTACTCTCTTGCCTACTACAATGGTTGCAATCTTCAGGACAAGGTCTTCTTGTCAATGCATCTGCGTTGCCGTGAGATTTCCCGCTGCAGTGTCTGATAGTAAAGTCGTATTCCTGCTGCTGCTGGGCGGTGCTGTTAGCCGCACTTCCTTTCTGAGACCGTTCACCTTCCCTTCCTAGGGTGTGCTTAGGGCAGCTGGACCGAAGATGGCCCCTTTCCCCACAGCCATAGCACCTTGGGCTGTATCCTTTGTTGCGGGCACGGACTGTAGCTGCTGCAACCTCCCTGACGCGATGGGAACGATGATCCTGCCGCACGGCTTCCACTTCCAGTGCATGGGCCAAGGCGTCCTTAAGCGTCTCGTGGTGACCGAGCTTCACAGCAGCTCTGACTTCCAGGTCGTGGATGCCGTCAATGAATGTCTGCACCAGGTTCCCTTCAATGAGCGAAGGTACAGACCGGTATGCTTTTCGCACCATCTTCTCCACCTCAAGGGCCCACTGCTGCAGGTTTTCGTTGCTGCGCTGCACGCGATCTTTAAGCTGCGCGCGAAAGACGTGTTCCAGATGAGCGTCGCCATATCTCGCTTCCAAGGCCTCAAGAAGCTGCTCATAGGTCACTTTCTTACCGAGAGCTTCCAACACAGTTAAGGCTTGGTCGCGCAGGCCTAGGGTGAGTGCAGTCATGGCTTGGCTTTTATTCCAGCCGTTCGCCTCCATGACGGCCTCGAACTGGATTTTGTAGGCCGACCAGGAAGAGGTCCCGTCGAACGGCGGCACTTTGAATCCACGTAGCGAAGGTGTTGTGGCTACTACGGGAGCTGTTGTTCCATCCCCAAGTTTGAGGTCGTCCAGCGTTTTCTTCACGTCAGCCATTACGTTGTCAACCCGATTGTTTACTTGGTCGATTCGGGTTTCGGCCTCCAACAGGCGGTTGTCATGTTGAGCAACCTTATCCTTCACCTCCCTGATCTCCTTCCCGAAGGTAGCGTGAAGGTCCTTCATGAGGAGCATCTGCTCTTCCAACCGACGGGCCTGTTCCTCTTGTCCGCCCCGCAGCTGCTCTTCCAAACGACGGACCTGTTCCTCTTGTACGCCCCGCAGCTGCTCTTCAAACCGACGGGCCTGTTCCTCCTGTCCGCGCTTCAGCTGCTCTTCGAACCGACGAGCCTGTTCCTGCAGCATCACCATCAGAGCGCCTAAATCAGGTGCTGCAGATGCAGGAGCTACTGACGGACCGGCCTCCGTTGCCGGCGGCTGGCCCTCCGACGTCTGCGGCGTTGCACCACCAAATCTTCGTTGGTCCGTCTCCTGCTGGCGTTGACTTCGGATACGGACACCCTCCGTTTCCTCCTTAGGTAAAATCGGCATTATTTTATCCCACTTCTGACACCAATTGTTACGAGCTTAGGGTTCGTGACAATAAAAATTGCCGATAAAATTACCTAAATTAACACTTTAATTTACTTTACACAAACTAAAGTTAAAAACACTAATAATTAAACACACTAATTCACTTAATTCCGCTCCGAAGCTTCGCTTGTTTCGCCAAATCAACACTGCCCCGATCGCATCTTGCAGCGCCTATATATTTAAATTAGCAAAGAAATATCCAGAATGTTCAAGTAAACACGCGCAAGGTACCGAGCGTTCGAGTTTCGACTAGGCGCTGTCGGTTGAGTGATTTGTGATGTCATTTTCTCAATTCTCCCCTCGCTCTCATTCCTGACACTAGATGGCGCTAGTGTATCGTCGACTTGAGCGCGTAACAATAATTTGAAATGTTTTATAAAGTGAGTCTTAAGTTTGTCTATTCTATTATTATCTACACAACAAAATGATAACATAAACAATTAGTTTTGGTGTTGACTATACATTATTAGTACTGGGATGCATTAAAATAGCTTATTTAGTCCAACAAAGAAATTATGCCGAAGATTTTGTAACTAGACTACAAATGACAAAATTGTAAATTAATATTATTTCTGAGAATAATTTTTAAATAGATTTTTCTTATTTACCTGTAACTGCAGGAGTTAAAGTACGATTCAATGCACTGTGGGCTACAATTAAAGGTGGTTCTTGCTCCAACATGAAACTGGCAGATGGTCCTGAAATTAATATAAAGCTTATATTAAAACTTATATATAATATACATTACTACACTTGCAACATAAACCCAATCTAGACTTTAAACTTAATATAATAAATATATAAACTTTAGTTTTATAAATTGTACTTAAATCCAATATCAGATCAACTAGAGAATAATATTCTACAGTCATCCTATATGACCCATTTTACTGGAAAAGAGGCATTCCATCTTAATCCTCACATGTGACAATGCATCTGCATTTTGATTTTTTATTGAGGATAAATGTAGATGTCTATGGGTCACAGCAACCACTTACCATCGGGTGGACTGTGTGCTCGTTTGTCACCCTATCCTATAAAAAAATGTTTTGGCAAGACGCTAATACTAAATGTTTAAATGAAACTAGTTTTACATAAAGTAAAAAAATAGTGTCACTTAAAATTGCAATTAACAATTTCATACGTGCCGGTGGGGATCAAACTCGGATTGCTTGCATGCTATGAAACTTCCAGCAAGCGCTAACCTTCATTTAAAAGACTACAGCTCTTATTGCACCACGATTTGAATTTTTTGCATTTTTCAGTTTGCCGCTAGGCTGTAGAGGTGAAAACATTTGTTATTGTTATTATTGATGTGTGATAGATATTTATGTATACCTGTATTTGATGCATGTGAAGTTGAAGTTTGGCAGGACCCAATATCAGATACCGTGGCAAGTGTTTCTGAAATTATTAATAAGAAAAGTAAACACCAACATAGTCAAAAGCAGCAGTTGTCTAAATATGAAGTAATAATTGTTTGTATGGTAACTAAAGTATGAAATTATATATAAACTTTGAAATTTATCAGCTTAGTTTTGGGGTTCTAATGCTTGATCATTTAGTCATTTATTGTTAAATTTCAATTTAATTTACTTGTAACACTTGGCACAATTCTCAATAACTGTGAAAGAGCATTATATAGTGCTATCAAGAAAGGCTTATTTAAATAGTTGAGAGCAGTAAAGCAGATAAAAGTAAATCACTCAAATCAAAATGTATATTGCAATCAACTTCATGTACTGGGCTGTTATTGGGTGTTTCTGAACAGTAATTCAAAAATGATAATGTTATTGTCCAGGAAAATGTAAAAGGCTGGGCCTCAAGTTCAATCACAGCAACCAATAATTACTTCAATAAATAATGTAAAACATGTACCTATACATACCATGTAAATAAAGTGATGGAATTGCATATGCCTTTAACCGGTTATTCCGAACTCGGTCTTCTGGAGTAAAATGTATGTCACAAATCAACTTCTTCTGGTAATACTCATAATCAGAAGCTGATTCCAGTTTTCCACACAAGAGTGACCCAAGCTTTAAAACACTCAGGGAACTTAAAAGCATTTGGGAAAAAATGCATTGAGGAACCTGAAATGAAATAAAAAGGAGTATAAATTACTTGAACATACATTATTATTTGCAGCGGGCATGAGCGTATAATATACCATCCGTACCATCTGGATGATTGGTGGTAGGCATGCGTTAGATATATCAAAACTAATCTAAAATCCGATTTGCTGTTCGCACGCTGTTCATGCTGTTACTCCACTTCTTCAATAGGTTATTTGAATTTTATAATTAGATGGTAAAGAGGAAAATGAAGATGGCAGTATGACTAAAATAATGGCTTTGTACGTCCAATGCTGCAGTGAACCCGGGCAGCCATCCCCACAACTACCTTGCTGACTGAAAAAGTTTTTATCACGTATTTATTACCTTTATTAAGTACTGAATATAAAATACACTCACCATTAGGGGCACACCCAAACGAGCACAATTTAGGCATTTTGAACAAAATTATGTACGTGTAAAACACAACACAAAAACAAGCGTCCTTTCGCGATATTGTCCAACACAATTCAAAATCGGGGCGAAGTCACCACAGCACAACAAGGCGGAGGAGATCAAAGCTCGACTCTACGCACTTTCTGAGAGTGTTCACAACCGAAATAGAAATAAATAAAATGGAGAAATCTACAAACATGCGCAAACGCAAGAAGTAGCCACCATTTTGACCATAGAGGAAAGTAATAATTTTGACTTTCATTTTCGTTTGAATATTTGAGCTTTTGAAGTTTAGGGTGGCCAGTATCATAATTATCGTAATCGATTGATTTCATGATATTTAAGTTTTTATTTTATGTGAAAATAATATTTGTTATAAACGAATCACTAATAAATTTATTGTGCATTTAATTTTATTTTTAAGTTAATTTTAATTTCTTTTTAAAAAGTAGCGACATCTGTGAAGCCCTTAGACCAATAATAAACATAATGTTTTCGGAAACAAATTATGGATGGCGCTACCTTCAATTGAATTCTTGTGGTCCAAGACAACTGTCCTACCCCTGATTCACTTCAAATTTCAGCGAATTGTTGGTTTTTGTTGTTCCTTGTTACTTTGTTATAGTTCTTTGTCTTCATTTTTGCGTTGAGTTCAGTGAGTTTCGCTCCTCTCTCAACCAGAGCAGTTTTGTTGGTAAAAAGTTGATAAACTCAAGTGAGATACTGACTCCTTCCATAGTTTGTGTTAGGAATGGCGATCTGAAATCGATTAATCGAAGAATCGATTTTTGGAGCCAACAAGATCGATTTTTTTAAATCGATATGTAGTACTGAATCAATTCGGTGAATCGATATTTCACCCTTGAAAATCGACATTCGATTTTTTTTGGTATAAACCATAAAACTATTTACAATTAATTGACTGTATCCGTATTGTAAGAGTGCTGCCGGTTAAAGAATTAATTATTCAAAAACTCGCGAGATGGCTGTATGTTTAGATTCCTTCGCATCTCTTGAATAAAAAAAGTTACGTTTGTAGTCTTTGACTTTTGTTTTTGTTTGTATCTGTGACTGGACTGAGTTGCGTCATGCCAGCCATAATTTATTTTTGGTATTTATTTCATTTGTTTATTGTTGATTGATTGAGTGATTCTCGTAAAGCGATATAAATACTAATTTTTATGTAGTGTTTGTTGCGAAATAACTAATTGAGACTAAGTAGGTAAATAAAGCGCTTTATTTTGTTTTTTACTTTCGTGCTATTATTTTCAGTTTAATCTATTAGTTGTGATCATTAAATCTATCCATGTATGTAATTCATTTACGTTTAGATACGAATAATCAATATTGGGCATTGAAATAACTAATAAGTAAGTCATATGTGGAATTCCTTAAGGAAGTGTGCATACTTACTTCTACTATTATGTCCATTTATCTATATAACCTCAAATTGTTTATTTTGTTTACATAGAAAGTAATAGTAAAGCCCTGATTATCTTTTTAAAAATAAACTACCGAAATTACGTTAATCTTATATTTATCAAGTAAAATCGGTCTGCGGTCACCTACAATACATACATATTTGGTAGGTAAGAACGCCAGGCTAGGGATGGGTGGGCAATTCTTTCCGAAAAAAGATCGATTTTTTAAATCAAATCGAATTATAACCTGATAAACCTATAAAGGTTTTTTTTTACAAAAAAAAAACTATTATTTCTATTTAATTGTTTTACTATTTAAATGTTTTACTAATCTTTCATATAAAGTCTTCTTTTAAATTGTTTAGGAATTGATGCTAATAGGATTTTGAATATTACTTAAAACTAGTAGGTAACTAATTACTAAAAATTTCGTTGTTTATCAAATTTAATGAGGAAAAAATGTATTTTTTCAGCATGTCGGGTAAAAGTGATATTTGGAATCATTTCATTAAAAAAAGACTCAGGAGGCAAATGCAAATATTGTCACCAGGAAGTAAAAACTAAGGAAACACAACAAACTTGCCTAATCATTTATTAAGACGTCATCCAACAATTCAGACCGTAAGTCTCAAAAAGAAGAGTGAAAGTGGTGGTGGCAATTGTGGTAATGCACGAAATGGTGATGGACAAGTGAGTGGAGTAGAGCATGTATTTCTTATATCACATCCTTTGTTTTCCAATGTACTGAGTTTGAACAAAATAAGAATTAATGTTCAATAAATCAAAGTAATATATTTCTTATTTTAGGTTTTTGATGACATGGCTTTAGGCATCGTGCCAGTTCCAGATTCTCAAAATGTTGATAATTCGGATACTGAAAGCGTGGCTTCTTCTTCTGTCTCTGTATCAGTCTTAAAACAGCCAACATTGGCATGTTGCTCAACAAATATAAAATCATTTCGAGGTAAGACAAAAAACTGAAATATTTTTTTAATAAATTTTCATGAAAGTAAGATGTATAGATACAGGATCGAAAATTATAACTTTTTTTTTAATTTTCAGATAATGGTGTTAAAAGTGGTCAACTAGCCAATGCAATAGTCTTCATGATAGCAAAGGATGGCTTGCCTCTAAATACTGTGGAAAAAACAGGATTTCAATATTTGATGAAAGTAGTGGCACCGCTATATAAAGTTCCAGCCAGAAAAACAATTACTGCGTCTTTAGGTCCTGCTCGTTCCGTAAGAATAGTACAAGTACGTGTTCTTGTGACAGGATAAGGCGTTTTCCTCCACTTAGTACCATTTTTGGACGTATAATATTGGTCTCTAAATGAACTTAGGGGTATATCATTATCGAAATCTAAATCGGATTCATGGGTGGTAATCATACGGTTAGCAGTAACAAGAGTGGCCCTTTTTTCAGAGAAATGGCTTCCCGGAGTGAAGAATAGAGAATTAGTAGATGGCTGGAGGAAGAAGACACTGATCCTAGTGATATAGCAGAGAGTGACCCTGAAGATCGATTATTAGAAGAGGAATGGTTGGAAGAATCCCAACACGATACGGACACGGAACAGGAAGGAAATAGCACAGAGCCCGACGTGGAACGAGGTATGATTACCACCCATGAATCAGATTTAGATTCCGATGAAGATATACCCCTAAGTTCACTTAGAGACCAATATTATACGTCCAAAAATGGTACTAAGTGGAGGAAAACGCCTTATCCTGTCACAAGAACACGTACTTGTAATATTCTTACGGAACGAGCAGGACCTAAAGACGCAGTAATTGTTTTTCTGGCTGGAACTTTATATAGCGGTGCCACCACTTTCATCAAATATTGAAATCCTGTTTTTTCCACAGTATTTAGAGGCAAGCCATCCTTTGCTATCATGAAGACTATTGCAAAAGTTATAATTTTCGATCCTGTATCTATACATCTTACTTTCATGAAAATTTATTAAAAAAAATATTTCAGTTTTTTGTCTTACCTCGAAATGATTTTATATTTGTTAAGCAACATGCCAATGTTGGCTGTTTTAAGACTGATACAGAGACAGAAGAAGAAGCCACGCTTTCAGTATCCGAATTATCAACATTTTGAGAATCTGGAACTGGCACGATGCCTAAAGCCATGTCATCAAAAACCTAAAATAAGAAATATATTACTTTGATTTATTGAACATTAATTCTTATTTTGTTCAAACTCAGTACATTGGAAAACAAAGGATGTGATATAAGAAATACAGGCTCTACTCCACTCACTTGTCCATCACCATTTCGTGCATTACCACAATTGCCACCACCACTTTCACTCTTCTTTTTGAGACTTACGGTCTGAATTGTTGGATGACGTCTTAATAAATGATTAGGCAAGTTTGTTGTGTTTCCCTTAGTTTTTACTTCCTGGTGACAATATTTGCATTTGCCTCCTGAGTCTTTTTTAATGAAATGATTCCAAATATCACTTTTACCCGACATGCTGAAAAAATACATTTTTTCCTCATTAAATTTGATAAACAACGAAATTTTTAGTAATTAGTTACCTACTAGTTTTAAGTAATATTCAAAATCCTATTAGCATCAATTCCTAAACAATTTAAAAGAAGACTTTATATGAAAGATTAGTAAAACATTTAAATAGTAAAACAATTAAATAGAAATAATAGTTTTTTTTTTTGTAAAAAAAAACCTTTATAGGTTTATCAGGTTATAATTCGATTTGATTTAAAAATCGATCTTTTTCGGAAAGAATTGCCCACCCATCCCTAGCCTGGCGTTCTTACCTACCAAATATGTATGTATTGTAGGTGACCGCAGACCGATTTTACTTGATAAATATAAGATTAACGTAATTTCGGTAGTTTATTTTTAGAAAGATAATCAGGGCTTTACTATTACTTTCTATGTAAACAAAATAAACAATTTGAGGTTATATAGATAAATGGACATAATAGTAGAAGTAAGTATGCACACTTCCTTAAGGAATTCCACATATGACTTACTTATTAGTTATTTCAATGCCCAATATTGATTATTCGTATTTAAACGTAAATGAATTACATACATGGTTAGATTTAATGATCACAACTAATAGATTAAACTGAAAATAATAGCACGAAAGTAAAAAACAAAATAAAGCGCTTTATTTACCTACTTAGTCTCAATTAGTTATTATTCCGCAACAAACACTACATAAAAATTAGTATTTATATCGCTTTACGAGAATCACTCAATCAATCAACAATAAACAAATGAAATAAATACCAAAAATAAATTATGGCTGGCATGACGCAACTCAGTCCAGTCACAGATACAAACAAAAACAAAAGTCAAAGACTACAAACGTAACTTTTTTATTCAAGAGATGCGAAGGAATCTAAACATACAGCCATCTCGCGAGTTTTTGAATAATTAATTCTTTAACCGGCAGCACTCTTACAATACGGATACAGTCAATTAATTGTAAATAGTTTTATGGTTTATACCAAAAAAAATCGAATGTCGATTTTCAAGGGTGAAATATCGATTCACCGAATCGATTTAGTACTACATATCGATTTAAAAAAATCGATCTTGTTGGCTCCAAAAATCGATTCTTCGATTAATCGATTTCAGATCGCCATTCCTAACACAAACTATGGAAGGAGTCAGTATCTCACTTGAGTTTATCAACTTTTTACCAACAAAACTGCTCTGGTTCGACCGACACTAATACGGAGGAGCGAAACTCACTCAACTCAACGCAAAAATGAAGACAAAGAACTATAACAAAGTAACAAGGAACAACAAAAACCAACAATTCGCTGAAATTTGAAATCAATCAGGGGTAGGACAGTTGCCTTGGACCACAAGAATTCAATTGAAGGTAGCGCCATCCATAATTTGTTGCCGAAAACATTATGTTTATTATTGGTCTAAGAGCTTCACAGATGTCGCTACTTTTTAAAAAGAAATTAAAATTATCTTAAAAATAAAATTAAATGCACAATAAATTTATTAGTGATTTGTTTATAACAAATATTATTTTCACATAAAATAAAAACTTAAATATCATGAAATCAATCGATTATGATAATTATGATACTGGCCACCATAGAGGAAAGTAATATAGCTGGCCACCCTAAACTTCAAAACGTCAAATATTCAAAAGAAAATGAAAGTCAAAATTATTACTTTCCTCTATGGTCAAAATGGTGGCTACTTTTTGCGTGTGAGCATGTTTGTAGATTTCTCCATTTTATTTATTTCTATTTCGGTTGTGAACAAGATCCCTCAACTTTACGACGAGTTTTCGACTTTACACACATGCTCACTTATGCATGTGTGCATTGCTAATGTATACCATAGAAAAAAATAAATAACCGGTAGCTTGCATACTGGTCACACTGACGGTTTTAGCAAGGAAACAAACAAGTGGCCATTTTATTCATTACTGTAATTGTGTTGATCGAGTGACATTAGCTCTCCGCATTTATTAGTAATTTCAACTGCATATACGTTTATGTTCTTGGAGTGAATTTTGTGTTTTGTACATATTGTTTAGCGACTATCGTGCACTATCACATTTATTTACGAAAGGACGTTTTGCGCTTTTTTTACGAAAGGACGTTTTCTTTGTTAGGTTAGGTTTTCTGTTTTTATTCGATTTGTGTGTTCTTTGTTTATAAGTATGTCTGAAAATAACCATAGGAAATGTGCCAAGTGCGGTAGAACACGTGCTGAAGATATGACGGTGACCTATCATAGGTTTCCGAATCCAGGAACTACTAATTTTACCAGGTTAGTGGACTATGAGATATTGCTTGTTGAGCCCTGATACGATTATCGTTTAAAATACTATATTGAAGCACCTTGTGCTGGTACATTAATTCGACAAATGAATGTGTGCGGGACAAGTGAAAATAAATAGACTTATACCTAAATAAGACGAACATTTTTATATTATAGTAGTTTAGAGTTTGTACTTAAATAGGATATAAGCGTTTATGTTGTGATTGTAGTTTAAAGTTACACATAAGAGAAGATATAAGCATTTTATATTAAGAAAAATAATAGTGTAAAGCTTATATTCATGTATTAGAATTAGTAATTCACTTTGTATAATAATATAACTAGCTTAAGGTAAACAATGTAACTCAGCTCTGTCGCGCCTCGCGCTGATTGGTCGACGCCGTCATACGGTACGCACGCCGTACCACTCGACCCGGCCGAGGTAGTATAAAAGAGGGGCGATTTTCGTCGTTCGACACAGTCGGCGGCCAGCTCTCTCAAGGAAAACATCAAATATAGAAGAAAGAAAAAAGTGTCAGTGTTTTATTCTCCACCAACCCAGCATACAAATGTGCTTGTAGGGCACATTTAATGGTCCTTCGCCAGCCGAATATTGTGGAAAATAATTACCTGAAGACTTCAAATAGTGCTACATCGAGTTAAGAAGACTTCTCGGAAATCGTTATTCGATGAAAAAGTCAGCTAACAGTATGGCCGTTACGCGTTCCGAGGGAAGGAGCAGCAAGCCGCCGTCGTCCAAGGCTACCAGCTCGGCGACCGGTACCACCAGTGCGGAAGCCAGTACGGAATCGACAGCTACAGGGACGACCGCCACGGAGACTTCGGAGTATACAGACACCTCCGCGGCAACTGATCCATCCACCGTGACTTCCGCCACCGCAGCAACCACTTCGTCCGCCGCCACCTCAGCCGCAACCGCCACCCCCCGCCGCGCACCCCGCCAGCACCGTCGCTCCTTCCGTAACTGCATCCGCGGCGACGACGCTAACTGCGGGTGCGAAGGCCAAACAGCTGATGAAGCCGCCCGCTACTGTCACCAGAGCAACTCGCCGAGAAACAGAAACTGATACAGTGAAGCGAGCCATAAGAAGCACCGCCGGTCCATCGAAGCAAACCGCATTACAGGAACCCCGCCTGCCCAGCAAGAAGGGAGGAGGGGGGGGGATCTACACACAGTAGAACGAAGCAGCTCAAGCTTGCAAAGGCGAAAGAAGATTTGCTACGCCTTCAAGTGGAATTAGCCGCAGCACGTCTTGCTGCCTTGGAAAGGGAAGACTCAGAAGAGGAGGAAGAAGAAGAAGAAGATGACGCCTCCCTCTACTCAGAAATCAATGCAAGAGTGGACGACTGGTTGGAAAATCAAGTGAATCGCCCGGTGTTAGCAATCACCAACGAACCTCACCATGCCATAGAAGAACCAACAACCGCCCGCGCAGAAGGACCAAGTCAGAAAAGGCATGAAGAAACACATCAGTCACCGGCGGGAGGTCAAACTGACGTAGCCCTCCTAGCTGAAGCCATCACTCGGGCTGTCAACGCCGCCCAACGACCTAAGTTCGTCGAGTTACCATTCTTCAGTGGGTCTCATCAGGAATGGCTACCCTTTCGCGCCGCCTACTACGAGACAGAAGCAACATTTAGCGCAGT